CGCTATCTTGCGGATACGCTTCCAGATCTGGGCCAGAGGAGTTTCGGACGTAATTGTTGAGACATAAGATGCCCAACATTCACGTTTAGCCATACGGATGGCCCTACGGGCCACCGCACTCGCTTTCCGAAAGAAAAGAAAAGAATCGGTCGTCTGCCTACGGCGGTGCCTCTTCCAGGCTGCACGCTTACAGCGGACAGCCCGAGCACAGTCCGCATTCCACCAGGGAACGCACTTCCGAGGACCCCGAGAGGAAGAGCAAGGGATAGAGCGGAGGGCAGCGTTGAAGACAGTGTCATAAAAAAGGAGGAGAGAGGGAGGCAGAAGGGAGAGGTCAGAGAGAGTAGCACTGAGGGTAAATAGGGTCCAGTCCGCCTTAGCAAACTGCCACCTAGGGAAAGAGAGGGAAGGGCGAAAAGAGAAAAAGGAAACAAGGATGGGGAAATGATCGCTTCCGTGGAGGTCATCAAGAACCTGCCACGTGAAATCTAAGTAAAGAGAAGAAGAGCAGAGAGAAAGATCAAGACAAGAAAGGGTGTGAGTCCGAGATTCCAAATGAGTGGGCTCACCAGAATTCAGAAGAGACAGGGAAGAAGAGAGGAGAAACGGCTCAAGAAGGCGACCCCGGGTATTCGTCAGAACGTCACCCCAAAGAGAATGACGACAATTGAAGTCACCCAGCAGGAGCACAGGCTCCGGCAAGGAGTCTAAGAGGTGTTTCAAATCAAGAAGAGAAAGCGGGACACTCGGGGGGAGATAAATGGAACAAACTGTGTACCATTTCCTCCCAAAGATACGAGCAGCAGAACAATGGAGAGGCGAAGGAAAAAGTAAAGGAACAAAGGGAACATCAGCACGAATCAAGAGAGCAGAAGCATTAGAAGCCCCAGCAACGGCTTGGGGGGGGGGGGGGAAGAGAAAGGTTATAGCCACGAAAACGACCAGGACGAGCACCAAGCATCGGCTCCTGGAGACAAAGGGGCGAAAACCGCGAAATCAGAAGTTGGAGTTCGAGGAAATTGGCGTAATAACCTCGAACGTTTTTTGAAGAATGGACAACGACAAGAAGAGAAAGGACAAAAACAGAGAATAAGGAAGAAACAAAGGCGAAAGAGCAACAGAGCACGTTAAAGAATATCAGGGTCGGGATCAGGGTCAGCAAAGTCAGGGTTAGGGGGCATGGGTAAACTGAGCAAAGACGGAGGGAAGGAAACGGGAGAACAGATCAGAGGTGGGCGGGCGGGGTCCGGAGGAGGAGGAAGAGGAGGAGGAGACAACGGAGAGGAGCAGTCAAGGACAGCAGCAGGAAGAGGGGGGGGGGGGGGTAGGAAGAGGGGGGTAGAAAGAGGGGAGCATACCTCAGCAAGGGCAGCAACCGAGAGGGAAGCGGGGGCTAAAGAAACCTCCATAGCAGGAACAGGGGGCACAACCACCGAAATGGGAGGGAAAGGAGCGAGAGAGGCAGAAGTAGGGGCCGAGGAAGAAAGCGAAACCTTCTTACCCGCCGGGGAGGAGGAAGGAGAGGACCCAGGCTTACGCTTCTGACTTAAAGAGACAGGTGTCCCAGCAACCATGTACTGGGCAACGGATTCTAGCGTCTCAACAGGAGAAGCTGAACGAGAGCACACATGACGGCCGTTTGGAGAGCGATGGACATCAGCCCGCACCGACAGGCGGCGGGGAGAGTCAAGAGACGGAGGGGAGGGAGACGAGGAAGAAGACACAGGTGACACGACAGACCGGGTAGAAAGAAGGGGAACCCCAGACAGAGGACCAGCAGGTGGATCCTTCGGGAGAGAACCCAAACGAACAGAGGAGGGGGCAGTGGGCGTATCAGGGTCCAAGGCCCGGAAACGGTTGCGAGTCTGAGGAAGGCGGGAAGGACGAGGAGAGGAAGAGCGCAACACGCGAGCATAAGAGATATTAGCATAAGGCGGGAGCCGGCGAACCTGGCGTCTCGCCTCAGGAAAAGATAAACGCTCCCGGTGCTTCAAGTTGAGGACGGCTGCCTCAAGCTTGTAATGGACACACGCACGGGAGAAGGTAGGATGGGCCTCACCGCAGTTGAGGCAACGAGCCCGGGGAGAAGTGCACTCCGACCTTCGCCACCACACAAAGGACAGAGAGAGACGGTCCCGGAGCAGCGGAGGGCACCATGCCCAAACCTCCAGCACTTGTTACAGAGCCGAGGAGAAGGAATGTACTCCTGGACAGAGCACCTGGCACCAGCAAGAATGACAGAGGGTGGAAGGGTCCTACCATCAAAGGTAATCTTCACAACCCGGAGGGGTTGACGGCAACTACCACGAGGGGGACGAGTAAACGTGTCCACCTGGAGAATAGAATGGCTCTGGGCAGCAAGGATATGTCGAATATCGTCGTGGCAGTCGCGCAGGTCCCGAACACCGGTCGCAACATGGGGCAGGAGCAGAATAGTGCCAACACTGACATTCAACTGAGCGTTCTTCGAGACCCGAACAGGGGTCTCGCCAAGGCAGGATAAGGCAGCCAAGCGGAAAGCAGCATCCTGAGAAGGAGCAGCAATGACACGTGTACCGAGACGAGTGGGGTTGAAAGTAATGGAGGCATCCACGGAATCAACGAGATGTCGACGGAGGGAGAAATCGTCAGGAGGCGCAGAATCAAGAGGGAGGAGATCAAAATATTTGGCCCACGAAGCGGGACCAAACAAGGCTTGATAGGTAGCAGAACTGGAAGGAATCGAGCGAGGGCGGCCGTGACGAGGACGGCGATGAGAACCCCCAGACAGAGAGGGGTTAAAAGGCACATTAGTTACAACTAGAGAAGGAGCCGTGCCAGGGGACGAGGTAGTCACCACTGGGGGCTTGGGGCTCGACCCAACCACAGAGGAGGGAGGGGAGCCAGGGAAAGGAGTCAGAGAGGCCAAAGGAAGAGCAAGGTCGGGGCCCAATGCAGCGGAGGCTACAGAGCAAGGTCAGGGCCCAATGCAGCGGAGGCTACAGAGCAAGGTCGGGGCCCAATGCAGCGGAGGCTACAGAGCCTGGTCTTCCAACACGGACTGACTCGGGGGCTTGGTCGCCCACCCCACGAGCCTGAGAAGGTAAAGCAGAAACAGCCGAAACAGGGGTCATCATCATTACGAAAAGGAAAATTCATTCACGAATGTGACCCCACACCCACCATGGAGCCACAATTAGAGGCAGGACACCCAACAAGAAGCTATCGCTGATCTTGCCGGGGCCTCCTAGGGGTGCGTCGTGAGTATACGCCTCACAAACGCCACCTTAAGAAACCGACAGTCCGTCGAGATCGGGTTCAGTGACGAAAGGGGGATTGACAATAAAAGGTTCCCCTCGCTCTCGACGTCGGGTACTACAGTTCTACGGGTGCAAGAGTATGCCTCCTCAAGCACCCGGGCGTCAAAATATTAGTCCAAGGGAAGAACCAGAACAAGCAGAAGGTCGGCAGGAAACGGCAAGCAGATAGGAGAAGAGCGGGGAGAAAAACGAAACCGAAGGAAAAGGTGCCCAGCAGAATTGGAGAGGACGGCAGCAGGAGCACAAGGCTAGAAAAGGACAGAGGAGTGTCCCAAGGAGCATCACACTCCGGCAGCCGCCCACTAAGCCCCCACACGGCAACAACGAGCTGAGCGGGGAGGGGGAGGGTCCACAAAGTGGATATGCCCTGGTGCCACCTGGAGGGCCAGATTTCACACATAATAATGTGTTAGTATGTTATTATATGCTGTATTTCATTATATGTCATATAAATACATTGCCCAATGGCAATATTTCCTATGTCCTATTGTACAAAAAGCTGACCAACAACCATCCATCCATCTATCTATCCCCCCCTACCTTCCTCTCCTGCCTCTCCCCCCTCCCACTCCTGCCTCTCCCCCCTCCCTCTCCTGCCCCTCCCTCCTTTAATTGTTTCTATGTGGATTTTGTTGTGACTTCTACATCTTGGAGAATGCATATACAGCACTAAGCATGAAAAATTTGAACGAAATTGGTCAACATGCTAATCAGCCACAGGTGGCCGAAGTTGTGACTTTTTCTGGCCGATTTATTTGCAGAGTTCAAACACTATTCACTGTATTTAGCTTGTATTGATGAATGAGGACCAGATGAGGACCTTATCACTAACAAAAGGGTAATAAAGTTATTGCAATACACATGTTTCGTTATAATAACATAAGAATGAATGTAACTGCAGAAGGCCTATTGGCCGAGACAAGGCAGCACCTATTTATGGCCAACCAATTTCATTCATATATGTGTCTAACCTATTGTTAGACATTTAAAAGGCCCAGTGTCTGTTTTTCAGTTATCCCTATTTTTTTTTTGTTTGCGGGGGTATTTTTTTCTTAAGACTTCATTTCAACACATTTAACTACAACTTTCACATTCGAGTACGAATGCCAAACAATCTTAATTATAACTTACAAGATATGTCATAAATTAGAAGTTCTATATTCATTATTCATTGTCGAGAACTTTATTAAATGCATTTTTCTATTAATTTTTTTTTTAACTGTGACCTAAAAAAATTCAGTTTCTGACCGATTCTCACCATTTTTAAATATGCGCAAAGTTCTTAGGTTCCTAGTGAATCGATTAGTCATAATGCCATAACGTTTGGAATTTCAAATATTTTGGTATAAATTTGACACATATTTGGATGGCCACATTCGAAAAATGTTTTACAGTAAACTATACTCTAAAACAATCATTCTCTCACAAGCAATTGAACGTTATATGCCATTCCGAGACCATAATTAATAAAATAACAATTGGTGACATTATAAAATATTTATAGCAATTTGAATGTGAATTTTCTTTTTGTTTCTTTTTTTTTTTAACTTTTTTTCTGTTCACGGTATGATGTTGATCCACAAGGAAAAGTTGGAGCATTTGCCACGAAAATTATGCACACAAAAAAATTGAGTGTGCATGAGGAAATTTCGGTGCACATGCACCGGGTTCCTTAATGTTCTAGGTTACCATAATACTCACAACTTTCTTGGTTTTCTTTGAAGTTCTAGATCCTTTGCTGTTACCATCTTCATCATAGGTTGTCAGCTGTGATTTTTCTAATGCCTCAACTTCCTGGATCAGATCGTGGTTGTCATACGACGCCGATATCTTCTCAGACACGTGCTTTATAGCCTCAATCCATGCATCCCTTAATGAAAGACTTATTTAATTGCCAGACCTACACCCCATTCTCTACAAAGTACTGGATACTGTAAATTGCATTCTTAAAATAATTTTTTTAACTTTATCCACTTAACTAAGTAAATTAAACAAAATAAGTAACAAGACAATAAAACAGATTTTTTGAGTGAACTAATATTGTCATGATATGCCACAGAAGATTCTACTCTGCATTTAGAGCAACAAACTTATAGTCGGTATAATAAAAAAACAAGTGTTGAATGTAATGCAATGCCTTCTTCTGGGTGAGGCCCAGTGGCTCCCCGAGGCTAATTCACTGAAAGGGATCCAAACTACTTTGTCAAATAAGGTTTAACCACTGGGCTACGTGGCTTCCAAATACGGCACCCTCCAGTGTGCAAGAAATATGTTCTAAAAAAAAAAATTCAAGTGTTGAAAACCCTTCCCCGCAATATTTAATAACATTTAATAATTAAATATATTTAATGCAATGTACAGACCTCAATGGCAGGGTGCTTCCCCAATCAACTTCCTGATGGACAACCTAGACTCCCTGCTAATGCAGCACAACTGTCAGCACATTATAATTGTCGGCTACCTAAACCAGTATCTCAGAGGTGGATTTCTTGGGACACCATGCGACAGCAGCGGGGGTCCAACCACTATAGAAGAAAATCGAGGCAATCAAGGAATTCCCACGCCCATCCAAGTTGCAAAAATTTCTTAGCGTGGTGAATATTTATCATCGATTCATCCCACATTGTTCGGACATCTTGCAACACTTATACGACCTCTTACGTGGTCGGAAACACACGTCCCGTCTTCCGTTAGAGTGGACTCCCCAGACAGAGAGAGCATTCACCGACAAAACACAAGCTGGCGGAATTTACCTTGCTCACACACCCAGTGTCTGACGCTCCCACCAATCTCTCTTCCGACGCTTCAAACACAGCTATTGGCGCTGTACTACAACAGTTCATTGAAGGAGAATGGCACCCAATTGCATTCTTTTCATCACGCCTGTCACCCACTGAAGAGAAGTACAGCACTTTTGATAGGGAACTGTTCGCCATCTATGCAGCCATACAACATTTCCGGCACTTCCTCAAGGAGCAGGACTTCCACATCCTCACAGACTATTAACCCCTCACATATGCACTGACGTCAAGGGTGATGCTCACTCTTCTCGAGTAGCCAACCACCTGGGATTTCTTCCAATTTACCTCAGATATCCGCCATGTCAAAGGAACTAACAATGTCATAGTCGATGCACTGTCTCGACCCACCATAAACCACATCGTGAAAAACCCAGCTCAGGTGGACTACTGTGTAATCAAGGCCCAACGGGAAGATCCTGATCTGCAGCGATTACGAACATCTGACACAGCTCTCTGGTTCATCGAGATTCCCATGGAAGGTAGCGGTAGTATAATCTGACACCTCACCGACGGGAGCACTTAGGCCTTACATTCCTGCCCAGTTTTGCTGGAAAACATTCTCGGCATTTCACTCCCTAGCACACCCAGGAGTACATGCTTCCCAAAAACTACAGAGCGTGTCGTATGGTCAGGAATGTCAGGAATCAATGCCGATGTTCGACGATGGACTCGCTCATGTCTCCAGTGTCAGCGAGCGAACACACATCAACACACAAAGAGCCCTCTTCAACAGTTCCCGTTACCTTCGGACCGTTTCGAGGTGGTGCATGTAGACATCGTTATCAGAATCCTGGTCATTTTTATCACAGTCAGGGGTCTTCTCTAATACTATCATCACTAAATAATAGCAGGTGCATATACAGTGGTACTTCGGCTTACAAATGCCCCTCTTTACGAACTTTCTGGTTACGAGCCCGATTTCTTTGTAAAATTTAAATCGGGTTTCGAACTTTGCCTCGCGAAACGAAGTTTGTTCATACGCGTATGCCCGACCTAGTACGTGGTGGCACAGCGATCGCTCCTCAGTTTACCAGTGCCTCCCGCTAGTGACAATCACGCCTGAATTTTTTGTAAAGAATAAGTTTTTTCGGATTTTTGGCTATTTAGCTCATGCTGTGTGCACCAGCCTTGGTTGCTCACTCATTACTGAGGCTCTCACACCCAGGAATGTTACTCACGATTTTTTCCAGGATGGATTCTGTTTACTATTGGTCATGGCTGGACTATAGCTGCCCCTATCCCTTGCAGGGCATTTAAAATCGTTCGCGAGGCCCTGATTCGTATATTTACAATGTGCGCCATTCCGTGACAGTTACTCCCATCGTATATGTATGCATTGTACCGTTTAAGGGTTAACCAAACACCAGCCAGACTGGTCCATACACAAGTGAACCATATTAACCAAACACCAGCCAGAGTGGTCCGAACAACTAAGTTTCCATGATTTTTGTTCACTGACTTGTGGCACATTTATCTTTGTAAATTAATTTAAAAGCTGAAGCATGAATAGCTAGCTACATGTGGTGAAATCTCCCTATAGACATTTGTCTGTGATGAAACAAGATAAGTTGAGGATGGACAGATAAGGGAATACTGTACTATAAACCTCACTTTAGTGAGGTTTCACTCACTTTCGTCTGTGTCGTCATAGTTCAGTGACCCAAGTCTTTGAAAGTTTCAGATTAATAAATCATTTCTAAAAACCAGTATTTAATATCTCTATTGTCCTAATTATATTTATAAACTAAATAAAACAAAAAATATACTGTAATATGATAGACATCTGCTATTTGTGATTTTTTTTTATTGGCACAACTACTCCAGCGCGAGTGAACTCGTCTAATCCATGTACACACAGCACCATTTGTGTTTTGTTCAATTTCGTCACCACAGTTTAGTGACCTACAGCCTTAAAATAATAAAATTAAAAAATCAATTCTAAAGTAAGTATTGTTTATAGCTCTTATTATCCTAATAATGTTGATCAACTAAATATATAACCCAAAAATATATATTGATATAAATAAAATATTTGAGAGAAATTTATTTTTGGATCAGGCTTAAACTTCAGCCTACTGTAGGATGTTAAACCTAGTTCCTCTGTGTTAGCTGCCCATTCACCTGCCCAAATACCCACCCACCCTGCCCGAATAGCTGCCCACCCAATCACCTGTACAAATAGCCACCTATCTGCCTGCCCAAATCCACCCACCCTGCACAAATAGGTGGATTTGGTGGACTATAGGTAGACTACCCACACCGCCCGCCCAAATAGCCACCCATTAGCCTAGAGCTTGCCCTGCCAGTCAGCCACCAATTCATCCACGATGTTGTGATTGATGTTCAAAGATGAACATTCCAGATTTTTTTTTTTACCGACGACACAATCTTCATTTACTCCAGTCCTGGCCCCCTTGCTCTATTTAGCTCAGTATTCACTGACATTTAAAGTCCATTTCCGGCTAACTGCCATCAAACTCACCATCAACAGACAAAACTTTCTATATTTTGTTTGGCAATAAATCCTCTAATCAAATAAATCTCAAAATATAAATACCCAAATTTGTAACAAATTAGATGGCAAATTCCTTGGCATTCTCATTGACCACAAGCTGAATTTCCAGGGACACATTCTAAATATATCAAAAAAAGTTTCAAAAACTGTTGGCATTCTTTCAAAGATCAGGTATTATGTACCTCGCCCAGCCCTGGTGACACTATTACTCTCTCATCTATCGTTATCTCAATTATGGTATTTGTACTTGGGGTTCTACTACCCAAAATCACTTACATCCTCTAATTACTCAACACAAAACTGCTATTAGAACAATATCTAACTCTGGCCCCAGACATCACTCGGTACCCTTACTCAAATCTCTGAATATGTTAGATATTAAGTCACTGCACATCCTCTCATGTGTATTTTATATATATATATAAAACCCTGAACTGTGATGTCAATTCTGACCTTGAAAGCTTCTTAGAAGGTTGTAACAGAACCCATGAGCACCACACCAGAAACAAATACCTATTTGATATTCCAAAAGTATGACAAACTAGAAATACTTTACAAATCAAGGGACCCCAGAATGTGGAATGACCTTCCCAATCATGTTAAAGACTATCTCTCTCAATCAGTTTAAGATAAAAACTAAGTACTACCTAATTAACTCCATGTAACCTACCTCACCCCTAAATGTCAACCCATGTCTACTATTTTAAACAATACTGTTTATTGACCAAATTGTATATTTGCTATTTTTCTGCCATGTTCCCTCCTTTTTTATTATTATCTCGCCACAATTTATACTTTAATCTCGATTAGTATTAAGTTTTAGTCTTAGTGGTTTTCCTGCCCGAAACGCTTTGTATAATAGTGGCTTTGGGCATTATATGTACTAGCTCTAGCTTTAAATCCAATTTTTGTATCTCACCTTGTATGTATGTACTTTACCTGAATATATATTTGATTTGATTTGATTTTCGAGCTAGTGAAGAATGGTTGGAAAGATTTAAGAATAGGCATAATATTAAAAACAGGAAAATTGCCAGAGAATTATTAACCATTAAACTGTGCAACATATCAATAGCTGTAGTAAGTAACTGTCACGGAATTGCACACCATAGCTATTGATGTGTTATCGTACCACGCAAGAGTTCCCGCAGCTACATGGGGTTCACATCAGCTTCCTCAGGGCTCTTGTAAACAAACGCCTTTTTTTAAATGTGGGCAACATTCCCAGGTGAGAATCAGTACTGACTGAGCAACCAAGGCAGGCACACGCAACATGAGCTAACAGCATTGCTGGTTGATACCTGGTTGATGGGGTTCTGGGAGTAGTTCTACTCCCCAAGCCCGGCCCGGGGCCAGACTTGACTTGAGAGTTTGGTCCACCAGGCTGTTGCTTGGAGCGGCCCGCAGACCCACATACCCACCACAGCCCGGTTGGTCCGGCACTCCTTGAAGGAAACAATCTAGTTTCCTCTTGAAGATGTCCACAGTTGTTCCTATAATATTTTTGATGCTCGCTGGTAGGACGTTGAACAACCGTGGACCTCTGATGTACAT